GGCCGGGCTGGGCGCCGAGGCGGCGGTGGAGGCGCTGGTGGCCGTGGCCCCCGAGCTGCAGGAGCCGGCGTTGCTGGAGCGGGCGGTGGACGCGGCGCTGGCGCTCGTGCGGGCGGGCGGGCGCGAGGCCGGGGAGGAGGTGGCGGCGGCGCTGGTGGCCGGGCGGCTGCTGCCCGCGCTGAGCAGTAACCGCACCGCCCTGGGGCGGGTCTGGGCGGGGCTGCTGCCGGGGCGCGGGGAGGAGGGGGGCGCCGCCGCCCAGCGGGTGAGCCGGACCCTGCTGGCCCTGACAGCCCTGGCGGACCTGCTGTTCCCCGGCCTGGAGGGGGATGGCGGCCGGGAGGGCCCGGCTCTGGACGCTCGGCTCTGCGGGGTCTTCTGGCGAGTGGTGCAGGAGGGACTCACCGACGGGGACGGGCTGTGCCGGAAACGAGCCCGCTACCTGCTGAAGCGAGCGGTGGAGGTGTCCGATCAGCTGCGCACGGACTGCACCTGCCCCCCGGACAATGGAGACGGTACATAGCCCGCACCTGTCAGTCGACTGCCCTTGCTAACCCCTCCGGACACATCCACACATCGGCGACTCTCACAGCTTAGTCGGCCTGCCACCCTTCACGGCCATGTGTGCATTACTGCATTGTGGGGCAATCTGCACAGCCAGCCTGTTCTGCCAGTGCTTGGGTACCAAGATGATAATTGTTCCATAGGTGCCTTGCAGAGTTGTTGGTGTCCAGGAGATTATTGTATTTCTGTTCTCTTGTACTGGGCATTGGGAGGTAGGAAGACAGGCAAATTTGGTTAACCAGTACACACACAAAAATGGTGTTTGGGTCTGTTTACACCCTGGCATTTGTTACAACTACTTATGAGCTAAGTTGAAACTCTGCAGTTACATGGCTCAGAAGCATGTGTTAACCATAAAGTATGGAAACAAACTGTTCATGGAGTCCACCATGTTACAACCTCATTTCAGACTTGGTAAAAATCAGCACAGACAAGCCCTGAGCCCTGCCTAAATAGCCAAGGAAACTAAGCACCTTCCTAATGAACCACTGACCGAGGCTTAAGTAAAGATGGAGGTAGACAGTGGGCAAAGGTGCATTCCAAATTTTGACCCACTTTGTAGCCTATCAGACGATCCTTCGTTTTGCAGAATACTTTCTATGCCAACGCTCTTCACATGATGCCTAGTCAGTCTTGTAGACTATTATGGAAGATTTAACTCAGAAGTCTGGGGGATCACTGGGAAGAGTGCATCTTGAAATATGCACTGTAGGGCTGGTACTGTTGGCAATTGTACCAGCTGGTTCCCCCTTCTATTCCCCAGTGCTGGAAGCTGGCCATTGAGGGCTGTCTTGAAATGGCATGGGGAAGGGTTGCCGGCCCTGCTCATGCTTCACCCACTCTGCAAGGCATAATTTAGCAGTTGGTGTTTAAGAGGTAGGAACAAGATTCTCCCTTAACAGTTTCAAATATTTAAAGTCTCAGATTATTTCAAACTTTCAAGATTGTTGCACTGTCATTAAAAGCACATGGCATGAGTAGAGAACATGGTTCTGTTTTCTTGGGGTTCCTGTGTAATTGTGGGCAAGCTACTTAAGCGAGTGCAAAATATTAATTAAAAAATAAAATCTGCAATCCAACATCCCCACAAAGTGATAAAACACTCAATCTCTACTTCTGCTGTTGCTAGCAGATTCTGAGAAGTGTCACTTTCATGTCAGTTTACCATTTATACAGCAGGTAACAAAATATGAGTTACTATTATTGGAATAACAAGTGATGAGATCTGGAAAGAATAGCAAATTCTGACAGGTGATTAGCATAGTCACAGTTTTCTAGCTAATCTTAAATGGGTTTATCAGAAAAATCTGCATGTTCATATATTTTCACTTCAGCCACATGGGAAATTGCCGTTAAAATTCAGTAGATTGCAAAATTTGATTTTTTTCAGCCCTTGTTGAGGCAAAACTGTTGATATTAGTAGGAATGAAAAGACTGTAGGATCAGGTCCTGTGTTATCACTTCTTGGTGATGATAACTCATGCTGGAGACGGCATTATATTACTTTTTGCTTGAAGAATAGGAGCAGAAATATCTTTGTAATTTAAACAATTTAATATTTTCAATTAGAACCAAGTCTTTTCTGGTGGTCTGTGGAGAAGAATGACAAACTTTTGCAATTTTGGGAAAATTACATTTTAATAATGGAGACTCTGGAAGGAAATCAGGTAAGTGTACTTTAAGTTTGTGTATAACATGTCGAGTATTTTTGATTATATATTCATATGCTGAACAGTATTGTCAATCACACATTTTGTTCAGATATCACAAACTAGTAATCTTGCTTTAACAAGCATGTTTAATTAGCCTGTTACAGCTTTGTAAGTCTTTTGCCTTAGACTTTTTGGTTTTCACATGCAAAACATTTAACATATAGCTTTTATAAGTTAGTGTGATTGAATTATTTTGGAGTTAGAAACCCCCTCATAATTTCTTTGAGACAACAATAAATCTAGTGGGTAGAGCAGGGGATTGCAGTTGGGAGACCTGATTTGAGTTTGCTGAAAAACTTTGGGTAAGTGACTTATCTGATGATGAAAATCAGATGTCATTATTGCATTCAGTTTCCCATCCTTGCACAGTCTCAGTAATTCAGAGCTCCAGCTGCAGGGGGAGATTTCCAGCTCACTCCCAGAGTCCACTTGTTCTCTCGGGTCAGGGAGAAGAGGGGGCAAGGTCAGACCCCGGTCTCCTGGGCATGTCTTACTCACAGTCCCAGTCTTCCCCCTATACATTGCTCTGCTTCAGCAACTACTCTCCATTTGCCTTCTTGCAGCCAGTCTCTCCTTCACTCTTCCCCCTGCTGACTGCCAGAGCTTCCCTTTTAAGCAGATCCTCCATAGGGAACATGCCTGGCAGCTGCTGAGAGGTGGGGCCTTCTGGGCACAGTATTGTTTCACTACTCCTTTTATCCATAGTGTGGGGTCTGTAAAGCCCATCACTAGGACCCTACCAAATTCAGGATTCATTTTGATCAATTTCACGTCCGGAAGGTTTTAAAATTGGTCAATTTCATGTTTTCAGATGTTTACACCTGTAATTTCATGGTGTTGTAACCATGGGGGTCCTGAAAAAAAGAGGTTATGGGGGATCACAAAGCTGATGAAGGGGGGTCGTGGGATTGCCACCCTCTCTTCTGTGCTGCCTTCGGACCTGGGCTGAGAAGGCAGCAGCTGCAGAGCTTCCTGCAGCCAGAGGAGATTCCCGGAGATGGAGGTGGGTCTGATCTCCCCCGTGCTGCTGGGAGCCTTCAGAGCTGGCAGCATCCATGGAGCTTCCTGCAATAAGGGGAGGTATCCAGAGGTGGGTCTGATCTCCCCCCAAAAGTGGCTGTGCAGGGGAAGGGGAAATCCCGTCCCTCCCCAGCCAGCTGGAGCCTGGTGGATGGTAGGAGCCCCCAACCCCATCCATCTCCCACCCCTCCAATAGCTAGATTTCTTAGGGGAGGTCTGATTTCATGGCCCATGACATGTTTTTCATGGCTGTGAATTTGGTAGGGTCCTATCCATCACCTGTAGTCAAACCATTTGCACTTCTTCCCTGTCTAAAATGAAATGTATCAACAGATAGCCTTTACTGAGAGAAATAACTCCTACAATTTTCTTGCTAACTAAACCTTCAAATTTTAGTAAATATATTGTGCTGTTTTATTGAATTGAAAATCTACAAGTTTTCAATCATGAATGAAAATGTCAATTGCTGATGGGTAAGTGCAGTGGTTGGTGTGATAGAACATCATGACAGTGAAGGCAGTTCAATAAGAAACCTGTAAACTAACTTTAAGTACCATGCACCAGATCCTAGGATTAATTACAAACGGTACTGATTCAGAGTAACTCTTAATTTAAATAAAGTTACTCCAGTTTTATACTAGTGTAACTGAGAGCAAATTCTAACCCATAAGTATAGCTATGATACCAACATTTTGGTTTGAGTGTTGAACTAAATTAATTACGTAAAATCTGCTTTTGAATTTCAGATACATGTTATAAAGCCAGTCTTACCAAAGTTAAACAGTTTGTATGAATATGCATTATCAGAAAAAGGTAAGGTAATTGTTTTCAGACATTATTTTATTTTCATTTGTGTGGTAATGTTTTTGCCTTACCATTCACTTGAAACAGCTATCTTTTAGCTAGATGTATGTCCTATCCAGAGTTGCTTTTCATATTGATTTATAGACTATCCACCAAACATACTTTGTCAGGGCCCACTGTGCTCCGAAGTAAGATGGAATCTAATTTTGTGGCAAGAACCCCTAATTCTTCTTTGAGTACTTGTGTCTGTTTCACTTAGCTGTGTGTGTGTGTGTGTGTGTGTGTGTGTTGAGTGCATTTGAGTCAGAGAGTTTTCATGAGCTTCCTGGTGCCTCCAGTTGAGGGTATAAAGGGTGAAATCACCCCACTTCAGTTCCTTTTTATTACGGTATCTGGGAGCATAATGTAATAAAATCTCATTCCGTGGGTAAGTTAGTTATAGAAAGGCAAGGGAGGAGGTGTCATTTTATTCATAAAAATCTACAGAATCATCATTTCAGTGGTGTCACCCTCTGCATTGTGGTGGGTGGACTTGCTGCCAGCTTCAGGTCCTCTGGTTGTTAGAAATTTTGCTAATACAGTGTTGTCGGAAATGGACTGAGTTGAGTGTCATTTAAAAGCCCTTTCTCCCACGAATACAAAGCACCAAACATGACAAAACTAGAACAATTATGCAGATATATATTCACGAAAATGTTTAAAAATCAACTTTTAAAATTATACTTCAACACAGGTATGCATTGTGTACATGAAAAAGACTTTGATCTTTGGTAATCCTAGGGAAGTTAACCTTGACATGTAGGACTGGAAACATTTATTCATCAAAGTCATCATCAGTGTTGTCTCTAGCTATCGCTGCTAGACATCATGTAGACTGATAGCCTTCTTTGATAGGATAACGAGTCCTGTGGATAAGGGAGAAGCGGTGGATGTGATATACCTAGACTTTAGTAAGGCATTTGATATGGTCTTGCATGATATTCTTATCAATAAACTAGGCAAATACAACTTAGATGTGGCTACTATAAGGTGGGTGCATAACTGGCTGGATAACCATACTCAGAGAGTAGTTATTAATGGTTCCCAATCCTGCTGGAAAGGTATAACAAGTGGGATTCTGCAGGGGTCGGTTTTGGGACCGGCTCTGTTCAATATCTTCATCAACGACTTAGATATTGGCATTGAAAGTACGCTTATTAAGTTTGCAGATGATACCAAACTGGGAGGGATTGCAACTGCTTTGGAAGATAGGGTCATAATTCAAAATGATCTGGACAAATTGGAGAAATGGTCTGAGGTAAACAGGATGAAGTTTAATAAAGACAAATGCAAAGTGCTCCACTTAGGAAGGAAAAATCAGTTTCACACATACAGAATGGGAAGAGACTGTCTAGGAAGGAGTACGGCAGAAAGGGATCTAGGGGTTATAGTGGACCACAAGCTAAATATGAGTCAATAGTGTGATGCTGTTGCAAAAAAAGCAAACATGATTCTGGGATGCATTAACAGGTGTGTTGTGAGCAAGACAAGAGAAGTCATTCTTCCGCTCTACTCTGTGCTGGTTAGGCCTCAACTGGAGTATTGTGTCCAGTTCTGATCACCGCATTTCAAGAAAGATGTGGAGAAATTGGAGAGGGTCCAGAAAAGAGCAACAAGAATGATTAAAGGTCTAGTTGACCTATGAAGGAAGGCTGATGAAAGAATTGGGTTTGTTTAGTTTGGAAAAGAGAAGACTGAGAGGGGACATGATAGCAGTTTTCAGGTATCTAAAAGAGTGGCCATAAGGAGGAGGGAGAAAACTTGTTCATCTTAGCCTCTAAGGGTATGTCTACACTACGAGGGTAATTCGATTTTACTTAAATCGAATATGTGGAATCGATATTGCAAAGTCGAACGTGTGTGTCCACACTAAGGACACACTAAGGACAGTAATTCGACTTTGTGAGTCCACACTAACGGGGCGAGCGTCGATATTGGAAGCGGTGCACTGTGGGCAGCTATCCCACAGTTCCCGCAGTCCCCGCTGCCCATCGGAATTCTGGGTCGAGCCGCCAATGCCTTCTGGGTAAAAAAAATTTGTCGTCATCCGTCCGTCACTAACGCCCTCCCTCCCTCCATGAAAGCGCCGGCGGGAAATCAGTTCGCGCACTTTTCTGGTCAGTGACAGCGCGGACGCCACAGCACTGCGATCATGGATCACGCTGCGACCATCGCTGCACTTGTGGCCGTTCTCAACACCTCGCAGCTTATCATACACCTTTCCCTGAGGCAGATGCAGAGAAATCGGGCGAGGAGGCTACGGCACCGCCGTGAGAGCCTGAAGTCGGAGAGTGGCACAGAGCTGTCAGAAACCACGAGCCCCAGCGCCCAGGACATCACGGTGGCAATGGGGCATGTGGATTTTGTTGAACGGCGATTCTGGGCCCGGGAAACAAGCACGGACTGGTGGGACCG